ATTTTCGAAAGGTACTTATGGTCCCAAAAACGGACACTGTCTGCAAAAGTTAAGCTCAATTCTTCGAACGCCGTCAGTCCGAATATGCAGGTGCACGTTCATCAGAAAATGGTCAAAAACCATCATACGTCACGACGAAGTGGTGAGTTCAATCCCAAAGGGTCGCTACATTTCCGAAAAGTACTTATGGGCCCAAAACGGACCCCGTCTACCAAAGTTACGCTCTTTTCTTCGAAGGTCGACGATCCAAGCGTTCCCAATATGCGAGTGGTCGTTCCTCAAAAAAAGGATGAGAACCCTGATACGTCATTACGAAATCGTGAGCTAAACCCCAAACGGTCGCTACATTTTCGAAAACTTCTTATGATCCTAAAAACGGACACCGTCTGCAAAAGTTATGCTCAATTCTTCGAACGTCGTCAGTCCGAATATGCAGTGCACGTTCCTCAAAAAATGTTCAAAATCCCTCATACGTCACGACGAAGTGGAGAGTTAAATCTAAAAGGGTCGCTACATTTCCGAAAAGTACTTAAGGGCCCAAAATGGACACCGTTCGTAAAAGTTACTCTCATTTCTTCGAAGGTCGACAATCCAAGCGTTCCCAATATGCGAGTGGTCATTCTTCAAAAAAAGGATGAGAACCCTGATACGTCATTACGAAATCGTGAGCTAAACCCAAAACAGTCGCTACATTTCCAAAAAGTACATATGGTCCCAAAAACGGACACTGTCTGCAAAAGTTATACTCAATTCTTCGAATGCCGTTAGTCCGAATATGCAGGTCCACGTTCCTCAAAAAATAGTCAAAATACCACATACATCACGTCGAAGTGGTGAGTTCAATCCAAAAGGGTCGCTACATTTCCAAAAATTACCTATGGGCCAAAAAGGGACACCGTCTGAAAAAGTTACGCTCATTTATTCGAAGGTCGACAATCCAAGCGTTCCCAATATGTGAGTGGTCATTCTTCAAAAAAAGGATGAGAACCCTGATACGTCATTACGAAATCCTGACCTAAACCCAAAACGGTTGCTACATTTTCGAAAAGTACTTATGGTCCCAAAAATGGACACTATCTGCAAAAGTTATGTTCAATTCTTCGAATGCCGTCAGTCCGAATATGCGGGTACACGTTCCTCAAAAAATGGTCAAAATCCCTCATACGTCACGTTGAAGTGGTGAGTTCAATCCAAAAGGGTCGCTACATTTCTGAAAAGTACTTATGGGACCAAAACGGACACCGTCTGCAAAAGTTACGCTCATTTCTTCGAAGGTCGACAATCCAAGCATTCCCAATATGCGAGTGGCCGTTCTTCAAAAAAAGGATGAGAACCCTGATACGTCATTACGAAATCGTGAGCTAAACCTAAAACGGTCGCTACATTTCCGAAAAGTACTTATAGTCCCAAAAACGTACAATGTCTGCAAAAGTTATACTCCATTCTTCGAACGTCGTCAGTCTGAATATGCAGGTCCACGTTCCTCAAAAAATGGTCAAAATCCTTCATACGTCACTAGAAGTCGTGAGTTCAATCCAAAAGGGTCGCTACATTTTCGAAAAGTACTTATGGGACCAAAACGGACACCGTCTGCAAAAGTTTCGCTCATTTCTTCGAAGGTTGATAATCCAAGCGTTCCCAATATGCGAGTGGTCGTTCTTCAAAAAAAGGATGAGAACCCTAACACTTCATTACGAAATCGGGAGCTAAACCCGAAACGGTCAGTACATTTTCGAAAGGTACTTATGGTCCCAAAAACGGACACTGTCTGCAAAAGTTAAGCTCAATTCTTCGAATGCCGTCAGTCCGAATATGCAAGTGCACGTTCATCAAAAAATGGTCAAAATCCGTAATACGTCACGATGAAGTGGTGAGTTCAATACCAAATGGTCGCTACATTTTCGAAAAGTACTTATGGGCCAAAAATGGACCCCGTCTACCAAAGTTACACTCTTTTCTTCGAAGGTCGACAATCCAAGCGTTCCCAATATGCGAGTGGTCGTTCCTCAAAAAAAGAATGAGAACCCTGATACGTCATTACGAAATCGTGAGCTAAACCCCAAACGGTCGCTACATATTCGAAAACTTCTTATGATCCTAAAAATGGACACCGTCTGCAAAAGATATGCTCAATTCTTCGAACGTCGTCAGTCCGAATAGGCAGGTGCACGTTTCTCAAAAAATGGAGAAAATCCCTCATATGTCACGACGAAGTTGTGAGTTAAATGTAAAAGGGTCGCTACATTTTCGAAAAGTACTTATGGGCCCAAAACTGACACCGTTCGCAAAAGTTACTCTCATTTCTTCGAAGGTCGACAATCCAAGCGTTCCCAATATGCGAGTGGTCATTCTTCAAAAAAAGGATGAGAACCCTGATACGTCATTAAGAAATCGTGAGCTAAACCCAAAACGGTCGCTACGTTTCCAAAAAGTACATATGGTCCCAAAAACGGACATTGTCTGCAAAAGTTATGCTCAATTCTTCGAACGCCGTCAGTCCGAATATGCAGGTACACGTTCCTCAAAAAATTGTCAAAATCCCTCATACGTCACGTCGAAGTGGTGAGTTCAATCCAAAAGGGTCGCTACATTTCCAAAAATTACCTATGGGCCCAAAACGTACACCGTCTGCAAAAGTTACGCTCATTTCTTCGAAGGTCGACAATCCAAGCGTTCCCAATATGCTAGTGGTCGTTCCTCAAAAAAAGGATGAGAACCCTAGTATGTCATTACGAAATCGTGAGTTAAACCCAAGACGATCGCTACATTTTCAAAAAGTGCTTATGGGCCAAAAACGGACACCGTCTGCAAAAGTTACGCTCATTTCTTCGAAGGTCGACAATCCAAGCGTTCCCAATATGCGAAGTTTACTTGATTATTTTGTGTGAATTGTATATCAATACTTTGCTTGTGGTTATTATTTGGTATAGTTGGCATGTATAGGTCTAAGGCAAGTACGAAAAATAAAATATGTTTTAACTATGATAAACATAGTTGAAAGAGATTGTTCTAAGATGATAATAAAAGGAAAGATGAGAATAGAGACGAGGTGAATGTGACTTTAGGGTCGAGTAGTGATCCTAGTGAGGTTTATTGAGAGAATAAACCTGGTTCTTGCATTGCATCTGTGTGTAATCCTTTCTGCATGTATATGATCACTTAATTATATTGCAATGTTGATGTTACACTTTCAATATGTTTGATGTGTGTAATTGCATGAATTAGTGTGACTTATTACATTGTGTAATATGTTTACATGTATAGTGGGTTGAGATTTATGGTGTACTTTATTTGCTCTATGAGTAGTGTGAGAGTGTGGTAGTGAGAAGAAAGTTGGGCAGCCGTTTCTCTTTTTTATCTTTGTGAGCCTGTGTGGTTTGTGAGATTATGTGAGACAGGCATGTTAGGGCTTTATCTTTGTGAGTCTCCTTTGTGAGTGTTGTGAAGTAATCGACTTTTTCTTCGATTTTTCATTGTGAGTGCCACTTTAGCCGTTTTCTTTGTGGATTTTTGGAACTTTGGTGATTGGAATAACATTTGTGGTCACCGAAAGGTGTTGTTTTGCCATAGTGAGTTTGTGATGCATTAGCAGTGAGTTGGATGTCTTTTGGTAAGGTGGAGTATAGATGCCTAGAGGTGCATTGATGATATGCACGGGGATGTGGAGTGTGACATTTGGATCACGAGTGGAGATATGATCAAATGTGTAGAATCCTTCATCTGTGAAAGAGACCATGTCCAGGTGGAGTGTGAGAAAGGTACTTCTATCACTTCTATAAGGTGGAGTCCCATTATCCACGTAGGTTGGGAAAAGTGATGTGGTGATAGAGGATTATCACGAGAGTTTAGGATCTATTGTGACTCGCCAGTTAGACATGAGTTGAGTGATCTGTTTAGTAAGCATGATGGGCGATGAGAGGAGATATGTGTTCTCGAGGTGTGAACAACACGGAATGGGATAGGATAAGTGTGGTGAGATCTTTTCTTAGGGTCATTTATGCATGTGTTGCATATGTGGTTGACCGTGGTTTGATTAACTAGGTGCTAATCTGTGGTTCTGTGTAAACGTGATTTTGAAAAGATCTGTGTGTGTTATCCTATATATCTTCATCGCATGATTGTTTGTTCATTGTGAAAACTTGTTTCTACTTGGGTATTTTTGACCTTAGCCCTGATGAGTACATGGAGCAATTATGGTATGTGTTTCGGTTCGAAACACGAGGTAAGGTCTGTTATTCCAATTTTATTGGATTACCTTGATTGTGCAAGTATAAACTGTGTGTTTTGGTTGCTTGCATATTATTGGGCATCAAGGTGGAGATTGTTGGATTTTTTGATACCCAATAATTCGGGCGATGATTTAAAATAGTTGTCGGATTATTTATCGACACCATAGATTTGACTCGGCTTGGAGATGAACTACACTTTTGGATGGCTCGGGTTTGGGTTGGATGATTATTTGGTTAGTTAGACCATTTAGTGATTAATATATAGTTGGAAATTGGCCCATTAGTTTAGCTTATATGGCAGCCCACTTAGAGATCTTTTGGCCCATATTTGGTGACCTAAACTAACCTATATATATGTATTTATCTCCCAGCCATTTAGTGTGTTGTAGCAATGTAGAAGAGAGTTGAGAGAAGAGAGACAGTTGAGAGAGGGAAGCCATGTGAGGTTGTGAGTGAGATTCAACCATTGTGATATTTTTTTCTTCCTCTCCATACCTTTGTGGATTGATAATACCGCCACTCTTCTCCTTTGTGGGATTAAAGAGTTTGGGCAATCCAAAGTGAAGGCAAAAATCTTGGGTCGAGCCGAGGTAAACTGGTGTTCGTTTGATTGGTTTCTGAGCCCGAAATCAAGATTTATCGAGGGATTTTCGCTACACTTTATTTATTTGTTTATTTTTTTTTTCAACGTTGGTAAATCTTTCAAATCATACCATTAGTAAACAAATGAAGTACTGCTAAGGAAAAGTAATAACACTGAAAATAACGATGCTATAACAAGATTATCAACAAATGAGAACAAAAAACCCGATCATACCTCAAGATTTTACTTTTGGCCTCCTCCAACCTCTCAGCCCTAAGCCGCAATTCCTCGTAACTCCTCAAAACTTCTGCATAGACCTTGCGCCTCTGCATCTCTGCTGCATCAAAACTCGAACAAACCAGACAATATTCCGGGGAAAATTCTATGAAATCCCATACACTTTCTCCACTGATCACTGAACCATTCTCATCCCCACTGAACCCATAATTAAGCAGCATAAATCAACACTGAATTTTTTTGAAAACCAACATTTCCACATATAATCTCCAGAAATATTTAATAAACAAAATCGAGTACCTGAAAAAACTGGGTATAACTGATTCATGTGGGAATTCTTGTTCTGGCGATTCTTCTTCTTCTTCTGCAATCGTAAAACCCATTTGGAAACATACAGTAGTTAAGAACTATTATATATATCCAACATCTTTACAACCTTATGCATCTCAACTAACAACTATGTATGTAAGCTTATATAGATAGATTATACGATACATATAGTAAGATAAAATATTTACAAGTACCAGTAGCAGAAATAGGAGAAAAGATTCTATCGCCACCCATTACTGCTCAGTTTCTTGGTAGTGGAAAACTTTCAGTTGGATAGAGAGAGAGAGAGAGAGAGAGAGTTCGATTCTAATGAAGAAAGTGGTGAAGCTTACGTGTATCCAGGAAATGCTGAACTGCAAGCTACGTGTAAAATATGTAAGTCATGTTTGGCTAAGCTTCAAAATAATTATTTTTTTTAAAGATTAACAAATTAACCACTTAAGTTTAAAATAAATATTGTTTATTCAAAGTAATACGTATTAAAAAAATTATGTTTTACTTTAAGGGTGTGTTTGATTACATTTATTTTTCATGGAAAATATTAATTTTCCATCCAAATTTTCACTTGGAGTGTTTGATTGTTATTTTTTTCCATGGAAAATATTTTCCAACTTTTGAAAATATGCCTAATTTTCCTTGTTTTTAAGGAAAATATTTTCCTTGGGTAAAGGTGGTTTTTATTTTCCACAAAAGATGGAAAATATTTTCTTTTCTAAGTAATATTTTCCATGTCAATCAAACACACTCTAATTTAAGCTTAATTTATCATGTTTGCTTTAGAGTTAAGCCATTGTTTTTGTTTTGCTATTTAAGGTTAGTGTTTGAACTATAAAGAGTTAATAATTTCGAGAATTAAATCAAGAATTATTCGGATGAAATGAGTTTTCAAAATGCATTTTTCTCGCTGTTCTTTTCAACCACACATTCTTTATTAAAATAATATTATACGTAAATCAAAATTTTTTTTTTATTTTTCAACCACACATTTTCCATCATTTTACTATTCTAAAATACATTTTTACATGAAAATGATTCACAAACACCCTCTCAATAAGTGGCGGAATCAAGCAGAGACTAGTGAGATTTTAGTTTCCATTGAAATTTTAAAAAAAAATTAAATTATATGATTTTTAAAATTTTTATTTTTAATAATATTATATTTGTTTTAGAAAGAATTTCATAGTTAAAGGTGCCACTTCTTGCAAGCCCCATATTTTCTTGGGAAAATTACATAATTCCAGGTCTTCGAACATTACAATTCAAACATTAGGGACCAAGATTCATAATTCAAATATCAGGTATTGATATAATAATAAAATATTAAATATTGAAATTTAATTACCAAACCCTAGTATTTTCATCCCTTTTGTTCTCTCGCTTCTCTCCTCTCTCTCTCTCTCTAACTTTATTCCATCCGATCGCCAGTCACCGCCCCTCTCTGGTGTGGTCGCCGCAGTGGGGGGTCTGGTGTGGTAGTGGTAGAGGCTGCTTGTGGTGGTGGTTGGTGGAGGATATGGTTTCAGCTGGCAGCTTCGGGGTGTGGTGGTGGTGTTTGGTGGAGGCTGCTGTAGTTTTCAGCTTGCGGCGTCGGGGTGTGGTGGTGGTGGTTGTCGGTGGAGGCTACTGTGATTCTCAGCTGGTAGCGTCGGGGTGTAAGCACCGTGCTGCCAATTGTCAAAATGTCGATTGAAGGCGCAAGCGGTGCTTCGTGCAACTCCAGCGTCGATGCCTCGCACGCGGATCTGTAGTTTTGCCGGTAAACACATGGGTGGTGTGTTTAGGGGTTTGGGGACCAAGATCAGGTCTTTGAACATCACAATTCAAACATCAGAGACCAAAATTCATAATTCAAATATCAGGTATTGATACAATAATAAAATATTAAATATTGAAATTTAATTCCCAAACCCTAGTATTTTCATCCCTTTTGTTCTCTCGCTTCTCTCCTCTCTCTCTCTAACTTTATTCCATCCGATCGCCAGTCACCACCCCTCTCTGGTGCGATCGCCGAAGTGGGGGGTCGGGTGTGGTAGTGGTGGAGGCTGCTTGTGGTGGTGGTTGGTGGAGGATATGGTTTCAGCTAGCAGCTTCGAGGTGTGGTGGTGTTGTTCGGTGGAGGCTGCTATAGTTTTCAGCTTGCGGCGTCGGGGTGTGGTGGTGGTGGTTGTCGGTGGAGGCTGCTGTGATTCTCAGCTGGTAGCATCGGGGTGTAAGCACCGTGCTGCCAATTGCCAAAATGTCAATTGAAGGCGCAACCGGCGCTTCGTGCAACTCCAGCGTCGACGCCTGGCACGCGGATATGTAGTTTTGCCGATAAACACGTGGGTGGTGTGTTTGGGGATTTTTGTTTTTTCATGGCCCATGGGTGGTGTGTTTGGTGGTGGTTTTGTGGTGTGGTGTGGTGGTTGTTGTGGCCTGGTGATGGCGGCGAACAGGGATGGTGGTGGACTAGTGGATCTGGTGGCGCCGACGGGGTGGAGTTGGTGGGGGTGTTGGGTTTGGGGTTTTTTGCTGGATGGTGGTTATAGTGTTGTGCGGTGTGGTGATCTCCATATTGTTGGCGGCGACGGTGTTGTTGGTGGATCTGGCGGCGGTGATGGTGTGGTTCAGACGGCGATAGCGGTTTTTTTTGGTGTGCTGTGGTGGAATTGGATCGGGATCGGGTGTGGTGTTGTGATGGTATAGTGCAATCGACGATTGGATGGTGGTGGTTTATGACTAAGATTGATGTTGGATGGGACCGGTGGAAGGGGTGACCATAAAGTTTGGTCTGGGACCTTAAAATTTGACGATCTGTGACTAAAATAATAATTTGTGACCTCAAAGATTTGGTTCGTGACCTTAAAATTTGATGATCTGTGACTAAAACAATAATCTGTGACCTCAACGATTTCGTCTGTGATCTTAAAATTTGATAATCTATGATTAAAAAAATCTGTGACCTATAAAATTTTCGATTTGTGACCTCGAAATAATCAGTGACCAATTAATTTGATGATATGTGAATGATAAATAAATCTGTAAAATCTGTGACCATTAATTGTTTAACTGTGACTTTAATATATTTATTTAATAAATAATTTTAATTAATTAAATACAAACCTGAATTTTGAATTTTCAAACTTCTTTCCTAACTTTTGAAATGGTATAAAGAATACACCTTAAATATGAATTTTTCCCTATTTTCTTTTGGACAACCTGCCCGCCCGTATTATTATCAACATTATTTAAAAAATGTAGAAACTATTGAAATTATATTTGTGCACTTTTTATGCTATTTTCAGAAAAATTAAAATTATAGCAAGCTATTTCAGAAAATGGAAAACTTGCACAAATCCCTTTCTCGTAAACCAATGAACGAAGTGAAAAATTTACACAGGCCAAAAATTTGAAAAATAATGTGTTACGCCTCAATACCGAAGTGCCATCTCACCACCTACTCCGACCTGAAAACGACCCTCCCGAAATTTCTCCAGAGTGATATGTCGATTCCTGCTACTGATCTGCCGAAGCATCTCACCTCCGAGGTCGAGATCAAGTGGACCCCGGTTAGAAGATCCGCCGCCAATTTAAGATTTGTCCTGCACCTAAGGTTTAAATTGATTTGACGTCCCCATGAGGCTATTTGATGTGACTTATCAACTTTATGTCAATTCAACTTGGGGGAAACAAACTGTCCGCCCACTCTACAAGCGCGGCTGATTGACGCCTATGAGCAGACACTTCATACCGTCAGATGTATACACGCGTCCCACATCTCGCGGTTCATACCACCTATAAATACCCAAGGCTTGGCAAGAGGCAAAGAGAATGAAACTCTCAATACATAGCATTCCATAACAAGTTTATATATCCTCCTCCCCCCCCCCCCTTATTTAGATTTTTGTATAGCTCTTGGGCACTGTTCCGATCACCCAAATCTGACTTGACCGTCGGAGTGTATACGGCCGCCACCACC